GCCATTGTTGCATTTGGTGATAGCACATACAAGATGGCGTGTCCTCACCCCCAACAGACTCAGGAATGAGCACCCCTAGGATCTCCAGGGCACATCACCAGAAACCCTGTACATTAATAGTGGCTGTAAAATGGTGTGAGACACAGGCTTCCTTAGATGTGGGTGGGCAGGTGGGAGCCAGGGGGACATTCACAGGGGCCATGGCTATGGTGGAGCTCGGGCCGACCACGCAAGGAAAGTGTCCAGGCTGGGATGAGGACTCGGGAGAGAGGAAAGAAGAGAGGGGAGCCAGGGTACCAGGCTTCCTGGCTCTTCAGGGCCCAGACTGAGGGTGGTGGGTGTTTCGGCTAGAGTCTGCCCTACCAACTCTAGCCTGGTGCTCAGGGCCCCTCCCAGGTCAGACATCGGGATATTCAGGGCTAGCACTTGCCTTCTGTTATTTTCCCCATAAAGATGGTCATGGGGTGGGGGTGGATCAGTGTCTTATTTACATTTTTCTCCTCCCTATAAAGTTCCTTTTTTTCTTCCCACTTTCTCCAGCAGCAGTGGAATTGCCTGGGCAGCAGGGTGGGTTGGGCCAGGGAGACCTGATTTCCCTCCTCAGGGGTCCCTGGGATGAGGCCCCACATAGCCAGGCTGCGGACACATTTCCTTCGGGCTGTCCTCCCTGCCTGGTCGCATTCATCAGGATCACAGGGGCGGGAGCCCCATCTGTCTTTATCTGTCCCTGGGTCAAGAGAGAATTGTTGGAGTCATCCTTGGGGGAGGCTGGGTGTGGAGGCCCCCGCAGCCCTCAGCGGCTCCTGGCGGCCGGGCTTTGTGCACAGGAGGCGGAGGGAATGGACTTTTTGTCTGGCCGCCTTTCTATAGTGACAGACCCTGCCCTTGCTCCTGCCTTGGCCGGGGGCTCTGCGCGGCAGCCCTGCTCCCACACAAGTTGTTCCTCAGCCAAGGCACTGCACCCCTCCCGCCCCCACAGTGACAGGCCCAGAGGCATTCTTCACATTCTTTCCAAAGAAAGGGGGCGAAACATCTGAATTTGGGGGTCACCATGTTATACAAATTGCAATCTAATCTTTTTTTTTTTTTTTTTTACAAAAATACACTTGCAGTAAGAAAAGGAGCTCGGAGGAGGGGCTGACGAGACAAGACAGCTTGCTTTGTCCCCCTTCCCCCAAAGTTTGGGGCTGTTGTCAGCCAGTCTCTCCCTCCACCGCAGCAGTTAAGCTAGAGCTCTCTAGTTAGACTGGTCCTGGGGTAGGGGCCACAAAGGGCCCGCGGTGCCATTTCTGTTTGTTTTCCCAAATCAAAACCCCAGCGGGGCTCCCGTGGCGCTGCTGGGCCGCTGTCGGAAGACTGGCCGTGTCCCAGGGCGAGGTGTGTCAGTTTACGCTCTGAACTTAACCTCGCGAGCACTCAACAGAGCCTGAGGGTGCAGGCCCAGAGACAAGAGAAACTGTATCTTTTTATTGGCCCATTTAACGTGTGTGGCCGTTTCAGGGAACTGGAGAAGCTTGCAGCAGAAATGAAACCCCTCAGCCCCTGACCGGGCCGGGCTGGGGGCCTGTCCTGGCCCCGAGAGGCCCAAGCTCACTCTTGCCCTGGGTCTGCCCCGCAGGGCAGAGTTCTGTTTGTCACTGCAGATGTTGTGGGTGACACTTTCCGGCAGTGGCTCGGATGCTGGGGCAGGACACTCAGTCTGGGTGTGGCCTTTATGTTGTTGACCCTGCCTGGCCATGGATGCCCAGCTCTCCTCCCCTTTCAACCCTGGGACCAGAGGTGGGCAGGTAGAGCCATGCTGGGCTTCACACCCCCAACCCAGTGCCTTTCATCTTCTATTTCAAACAGACAAACATGAAATTACTTCCACAGATTAAAGGGGAGAGCTCCTCAGTCATTCCTGAGGCCTCACTAATGGAGGGGCAGGCCCCCAATCTGGAGGAGAGGGAGAACTGTGAGCAAAACAGCCCCTACCGGTGTGCACACATCTGCACGTGTGCCGTGAGAGAGCGGGAGAGACCGCCCAGCCTGGGGGAATCGGGGCTGGTGACCCCCTGGGAAGGCAAGGGCTTCCTGGGAGCCCAGGTTGGTGATCTCTAGGCAACGCTGATGTGGAGAGAGGGCTTTCTGCCAATCCCCTCAGGATTCTTCCCGACATCCCTCTCCCCGGGAAGGAGGCCGGGGGACAGGGTGCTGACATAGGGCCTCGCCCCCCACTGGACAGCACAGTGTACCTTGCTGGGGGTCATGCCTCTGTCCAGGGCTTCAGGGGAAAGGCAGAGTGGGCAGAGGAGCCCACAGCCGCCGCCTCTACTCCTTCAGCCTTCAGGGAAGATGGTGGCTCCAGTGGGGAGAAGGGATGGAGAGGGGCAGCATCTGTGTGAGGTGGAAGGACTCGAGCTGAGGGCCACATGCAGACATGTGCCTGGCAGCCCCATCAGCCTCATCCCCTTTGGTTAACACTGTTTGGGCCAAAGCTGGGCTGGTGTGACCACGCAGTCCTCCCCACGCCATGTCCAGCTTCGTACCTGTGAGGTCTGTTCCCCGTCACACGGAGGAGAGCCCAGCATCTTTTGGTTGAAGCTGAGGAATGGGGTCTGGAGGGTGCCCCTCTTCTCCTTCATTTCCCCCAGTCATTCTGCAAACTCATTGCTCCTACCCGTCCCCTAGCCATAGGGATTAGCGGGTGCACTTGATGTTGAGGGGTAGTTGCTAGGGCCAGGAGGCCCCCCTACATGGTTGCTAGGGGTCTGGCATCAGGCGAAGGGTCTGCCCACTGCCGCGGTCACGGAGGGAATTACACAGCCACAAAGAAATTGTTCTTCTCAGTAATCTGCTCTTGGCCACCGGGAGGGGCGAGGGTGGGGAGCAAGCTGGAGCCCAGCAGGCTGGGGGCTGTGATCACAGAGGCGTGCTCGCCCCGGGCTGGGGGCCAGCCTGGCCAGGAACACCAGGGACCAGCCCGCTAAGCTGCTTTCTCAGCGATTTCTCTCCCCAGACACAAAGGTGTTTACTTGTTTTAACTTCTCCTGGGACTCCCCTTCTCCCTTTGTGTGGTCTTTATCCCCAATGAGGTTTGAGCCCCAGATTACAGGCGGGAATTAAGGCATTGGACTCAGGCAGCTCAGAACTGCATGACCTGCAGGATCAAGGAGTATAAAGTAACGGGGTGTGTGTGTATGTTTATGTGGTGGGGGGCAACCCCCTTCAGCAAGGCCCATTCATCCTCCGGAGGAGGAGAGGCTGGGTAGCGGGTGGTCAGTGTGCAGGTGTGATGGAGGGGCTGATGGTGATTGATTGAGGCCTTTAGCTGGGGGGAGGCCTGGGGTGGGAGGGGAGGGAGTCTGGGCATCTCCTCCCTCAGCCCCCGTTCCTGAGGGAGTCTAACTCTAGCTCAGGAAGGGGAGCTGCATTTCCTTAGGGACTGAAGCCATTTGGAGGCTCAAAAAATCTGTGTGGCCCAGGTGGGCTAGTGGCTCACCCTCTGCCCCCTCTCTCCCCAGTGGGCAGCTGATGACGCACCTGGGCAGTGACTTTCCCCCAGGGGCTGGGGTGCTGGACCTCATGTATGAGTCCCCCTTCACGCTCCTGACCTGTGGCTATGACACCTACATTCGATACTGGGACCTCCGAGCCAGTGTCAGGTGAGTGTGTTGGGCAGGAGGACAAGTGGTGAGAGATCCTGTGCCAGTCTCGGTGGGAGGAGGTGCAGACTCCATGTCAGGGACCGGTAGGGAGCAGCCGGCAAGGTCAGACCAAGCTTGGACTCCCACCTTGGGCAGTTTTGGCCCGAGGCCTAGGAGACTGTAGCCACGAGGACCTGATCAGAGCCTTGGGAGCTGTGAGGGTGCCATCCCTCAGCACTCTGTCCCAGCCTTTCTCCCTTTCTTTCTAAGGCCTGACAGGTCCTGTGACACATAGTCAGCCACATGAAACACAAATGAGGACATAAGCTGCCCTGGGGTCTGGAGTTTGATGAGAAAGAGACTTTTCCTGAGGCTTTCCCCCATTAAGGCTGCTTTTTAAAGAATTTGGTGATACAGCCTCTCTCCCAGCTAGCTTGGGGAAGTGTGGTTGGAGGGTGGGCATCCTGAAGCTCCCCTGTATCGCCTCTTCCTGGACAGGAAGTGTGTCATGGAGTGGGAGGAGCCCCACGACAGCACCCTGTACTGCTTGCAGACGGATGGGAACCACTTGCTGGCCACAGGTTCCTCCTACTACGGGGTTGTACGCCTGTGGGACCGGCGCCAAAGAGCCTGCCTACACGTAAGCATCCCGCCTACCTCATGCACGCCTCCTGTACCAGGACTCATGTTTATGGGCTGCACCTGAGAGTGGGTGCCTGGAGAGGTGGAGGAAGCCCACAATGCACCTGGTCTATTGCACTCGGGCCACTCTTGTCATTCTTGTGCCCTCCCTTGCAGGCCTTCCCGCTGACGTCAACACCCCTGAGCAGCCCGGTGTACTGCCTGCGCTTCACCACCAAGCATCTCTATGCGGCGCTGTCTTACAACCTTCATGTCCTGGACTTTCAAAACCCGTGACAGGCAGGGCCACCCCCGCTGTGGGCCAGGGAAGCCAGCTACTCAGGGACCTCTTGCTTGGAGGGTGCAGTGATAATGCTCCCCACCCATGCCTGTGCTCCCAGACCTGCAACCACAGAGCTTGAGCACTTAAGCCAAAGGATGCTGACTCCTGGGACTCTGGGGTTACCCAGAGACACAGTCCTTCCCAAGAACCAGTTGGAGAGAAGAGACTTGCTGCTTTGGGAGAGTGAAGCTGAACCCACAGGGTCTTGCTTTCCTGTCGGCCAGAGAAGGATCTGGCCTGGAGAGGCACCCCCGCCCGCACCTCACCCCTTCATAGAGCCATGATAGCTTCAGTGAGGTGAGGTGCTCCGGCCTTCCCAGCGGTCCCTCTGCCCTTTCCCTGGAACGAGAGTGTGGCTGCTGGCACCGCCGCCTCCGCCTCCTCAGAGCCCACCTTTGGCCAAGCTGTTGGGGCTGGGGACTCATTCCTGGGGCACTGGGGCCAGGTCTCCCTTTGAAACTGGGAAAGGATAAAGGGAACCCAGCAGTTTAGAGTGATCCCTCAGCCTGCCCAGCTTCAGGCCATCTGTTGAGCCGTGCTACAGTATTCATTTTTGTAAAAATAAAGCTTAATTGTTCAAAGATCTGGTTCCTGACTTGCTGGGGAGGCCCAAGGGAGAGGGGACAACAGATTCAATGTGGAGATGTCCATGCTGGGAAGGTAAGACCAGCCTCAGGGCTCACTGTTGCAAAGAACAGAGGTTCCCTTTTTTTTTTTTTTCCAGGAAACCCTCTCATTGACCACCCACCCATTTGGCCGTGGAAGGTCCCTGGGTAGAGAAAGAAGTGTCGCCACCAGCAGCTTCTCTGGGATTAGGAGCAGACAGAGTGGACGAGGGCAACCTTCCCACAGTGACTCAGAACTTTACTCAGGAGAGAAGACCGTGATGCAGGGCTAGTTCTTACAGAGCCGGTAGCGCTCCGGAGGAGAAGAGGCTGCCCTGTGCCGGAAAGGCCAGGCTATGAGTCTTGCAGGTGACAGAGGAGCTCACTCACCCTCCGTGCTGGAGGGGCAGGTTCGGGTCCACTACTGGGTCTTACAGTCCCCATCACTGTGGGCCATCTTTACCTTCTTCAGCTCCTTCTGCAGCTCTGACTCGGCCGCCAGGACTTCCTTTGGCTTCTGGTACTGTACATGGGGCCAGAAAGGACATAATTCAGTCACATTCAGTCAGGCCCCCCCCTCCCCCCACTTCACACACATAATCACACACACACTCAGGACCCCTTCTGATCTCTTTGTTCAAAGATGAGGAAACAGACCAACAAGGTTGAATGATTTGCTCAAGGTCACATGGCTAAGTAGGAGCAGGTCTTGAACCAGAACCCTAGTCTGTGATTTCCATCCTTCCCATCACCCTCTATCCTCTTCTAGCTGTCAGACACCTCCCTGAGCCCCCACCCTGCTCTCCCCATGCTGAAACAGATCCTGTTCTGTAGGAAGTACACCCACAGGTTAAGTCTAGAGCTGGGGACTCCTCTGGAATGGGAAGTGGGCAGGGAAAGAGGGAAGCTCTCCCTGACAGTGACTAAGACGTCTGGGAGAATCTTACGGAGATGATCAGGGTGCAGTTGGCATAAGCAAAGCTCAGCAAAGAATCATCCAGAGGTAGCTGGTATCTGTCCAGATCAGTAATGGAGAACTTCTTGTAGTACCTGTGGGGACAAAAAGAGGTCATGGGCACACCCAACAAGGTGACTCCAGCCATGTGGCATCAGGCCCTGTACTGCTAAGCTTTTCCATTGTCCTCTCACACTTCCAAAGCCAGAGAGGAGAAGCCAGTTGGAACACCAGTGTTTTGGAGCTTATCGGCCTTGGGAAGGAAGGAATGAAAGGCCCTGTGGCCAGTCCAGCAGAAGAGCAGAACTGGTCATGATTCCTTGACTAACCAGGGATTAGTGACTCACACTTCAGGTTTAGGACTACCAAGACAAATATGCAGATAGCTCGAGCAAGCCAGCCCTTCTCTGAATCCCAAAAAATGGACCGTGCGTACTAACCAGGGACAGAATAAAGACAGCTAGGGCAATCTCCCGAAGCTGGGGATGACAGTTGCCATTTACATGCAACTTCCAGAGAAGACCTCAGCTACCTTTTCCTTCGTTGGGGCTCCTATGGCCTTACTAGCTGACTCTCCTTGTAGGCCAGAGAGGGAAGGACATCACAGGAGAAAGCCCCCTGACAGGCCAAACCATGGAGCTTTCAGGGAAGCTGTTTCTGCGGCTCTGGACTACTTTGCTGGCACAGGTCAGGACTGACGGTCCTTCTCCTGGCCTGGTGCTTATCACACCAGAGCACAAAGAACGGCCTACTCACTTCTAGCAATAGGCCCTTTTGGCATTTTCCTTGGAAATATAGCTAGGCTCTGGTCAGTGGCTGCCAGACCTGTCACCCAGCACAGCATCACAGCTGCTGCCAGGACGTGTGGGTTGGGAAGGGAAACGCTGCAGGCAGGTACAAACACTCAAGTGAGGGCCCTGGGGAGGACGGGGCTTTTAATACTTCAGAGGAGCCTGGTCCTTGTGGTGACAGCTACCTTGAGTCCACTTCAAAAGCCCTGATGCCCTGGGGACTCAGCGAGTTGACATCAATGTAGCACTTCTGCCCCACTCTCCCTGCCCAAATCCCTTAGTTTAGCAGCGGCTCTTCAGGGCCCCTCTCCTCCCAGGTTCCCGCTCCCACCAAGGTGCTGGGACCCAGCAGGAAAAGATTGTTTACTTAAAGGTTGACAGTTCAAAAGGAGTGGGGGCTGGGAGGGCCTAATGGCACCATAGGCTTGCTTTATTTTCCAAAGCTCTGCCCCAGGGAAAGGTGATCCATCTGCCTGCGAACTGGAGTGGAATGCCGGCCTCATCCTCTTCCTAGCCAGCCCAGGCTGAGGCCTTTTCCTGGGGCCCTCGGTCTGGCCAGCAAAGGTGGCAGACACTGATAATAGGGGGGAGTCAAAGGTTAAACAGCAAAGATTAGATGAACACAAAGGCTTGTTAGGAAGTGTTAACATCTTCCTTGCAAATATACACAGAAACAGAACTGGGTGAGAAGCAGCTCAGGCACATGCAGCCCAGCCGAACCCAAGGGGCTTGTGCAAGGCTTTGCCCTGCAGACTAGCACCGGGACATCCTTTCTGCGGCCCTGCCTGGTGGGACAGGGACACTCCTGTGCGTCCTCAGAGGGGCACTCAAGCTACCTTCCCCAGGCGGGGCGATGGGACCAGGAAAAATCCCGGAGCTTGGCTCATGGCAATGGCAACAAGATCTAAGGGAGCTGAAAGTGTGTGGCTTGCCGCCGCCTCTGTCCTGTATCCACCATCTTTCACGAGATTAGGGGAATGGAAGCAGTGGGTCTGGAAACAGCTTTGTTTTGAGTCTATTCTAAAGGGTTTAGTTTATTAGTTGAAGTTAAAAATTTTTTTCCTTAGAAGCTCCTGACGGGCAGTGTTCAAGGGAGTATGGGGCATCTCTCCTTGAGGAGCAGCCCCCAGCCCGTTCCCTGACCTTGGGTTTGCCGTAAGAGGAGCGGCATTTGACTTTCTCACCAGCACCTGGACTAGAAGAGACCAGAGACCACTGTACTTCTGCAGAAGCCACAATACTTAGACTCGGGCAGCAAACATTTCTTAGGCATCAGCTGTGTCCCAGGCCCTAAGCTGTGAGCCTCCGGATTTTAAGATGAAGAAACAAGGCCGTGTGCTGCCTGGAGACCAGGCTGCATTTCTGTTAAAAAGTCAAACTCAATAGCAGGTGGCTCCTGGGCTTTCTGTAGATGCCCCAACATCCCTCCCCATTTTCATCTCCCTTCTTTGTTCTCAGTCTCAGCCACACAGAGGTGACATTAATACTCAACCTGTGCCAGGCACTGTGCTGCACACTGAGTCCTCAAAACAACCTTCTAAGGTTTGTGACTATCTCTACACTCCTCCCTTACAGAAGAGGAAACCGAGGCACATGAAAGCTAGGTTTCTTGCCCAAGACCTAAAACCGGTACATGGAGACCATCTAAGAACAAGTGATAGTCCCCCAAGTCTGACCCTCCATCTTTCCACATTCCCACTTCCAAGTAACGGACCTGGTCTAAGTTCCCTGCACCTGTCCAAGGAGGGGGCAGATATGGGAGGGGGGCTCCAGGGGTCCAGCCACCCTGCAGGTCTCCGAGCACTCTCTCTGACACACAGTGGTTTTCTTTCTGAATCTCAGAGGTGTTCAAAAGACAGGTGGGAGCAAAGGCTCTCGGGAGGGAGGCCATTTAGCCTTGAGTCACAGTTTCTTCCTCCTCAAATAAAGGAGCTGTCCTAGATAAATTTGAAGTCTGCTGGTGCCAGTCCAACAGGCTGGAATGGGCCAACTTTCTTCACGTGTGTCCAAGGACAGCTCCTGGCCATTTGTACATTTCAGAAATGCCCTACCACACCCCATCACTCCCTTCCCACTGTATCACCTCCCCCATTCCCAGTCTTTTCCCAACTCATTCTCCCTTGCAGTGAACTGAGAAAGGGCACAGGCCAGGTCTTCAGAGACAGATACTGGAGGACAAGGCCACTGGACAGTCATATGGGCCACACCTCCGGGAGGCACCCTGCACAACTGCAAGCAGGGCTGGAGAATAGTCAAGAGAAGACTCCAGTCAGTCCAGTCCTTAGAAAATCAGTCTCCAGTCAGTCCAGTCCTTAGAAAATCTTTCTTTCTTAAACATCAAGGCTCTGGGCAAACTGTTCAGCAGCCCCTCCTGGAGGGTCACAATACACATTCACAAACTAAAGGCTCTCAAAAATCCTACCGAAGAAAAGGTGGTTTATTCCAGAGTTTCCTAAACTTATTTGAGCACAGAATCCTTTTTCTAGCAATGTCTATTAACACTTCCTCCAGTGTTAGTATCACCGATGTCAAATCAGTCAAACTCCCTTCACATTGGAATTTCCAAAGGACTGCTGAGGACCTGTTTAAGACTGGCCATTTGTACATACACATTTTCATCAAAATCTTCAATCTGTGAGGTAGGCATAAGTATTCACCCGTGATGGATGAGGAAACCTTGCCAAATACTATAATATATGGCAGGGGCCAGGTTTAAGCTGCCATCCTCCTATTCCAGCACCCTGGCTCATTCCACTTACAGCTGCCGGCTTCTAGGCTAAGGCTAAGAACCTTCTTTCTGCACAGACTCCCTTCCCAGGCACAGACAGTGCTGCACCGGGGCCTGGAAAAGCACTCTCTTCCTTCCCACACCAACACCTGGCCAAGGACATGATGCACTGGAATCCATCCCTTCAAGTAGCCAGCCCAGTTCTTCTGGCACAAGGCAGGTATGGACAAAGGAGCCCTGGGCTTCGTTAGTGACCACATTCCAGAATATGAGAACTGGGGCAGGCACAGACTCTCCCAGAGAGGGATGCCACGGTGTAGTGGAAACGGCAGGTGCCTGGGCACTGAGACTGAGCCTAAATTTACCTTCTGGCAAGTCAGTCCATCAAGCTGATTTTGCAGATACACTTACATAATTGTTAATATATAACACAAGAATAAAAATATGTACCCTGCCAACATCCAGGCGATAAGATAATCAGAGAACAGATTTTAAAAAGTATTCTGAGAAGGTTCAACATTGCTCAAAGAAACAGCCATTAAGTTCTGTTTAGTTAGTTGTAAGAAAGGTATAGGATTCTTTACTACTCCAGGTAGAAGTTGAAAATGCCACTAAACTCAGGACTAAGGGTTTAGCGATCCCTCTTGCCTACCTCCCAGCAGAGGGACCTGAGGAAGGCTGAGCTGAGCCAGGCTGGGCCACTGGAGCAATGGTTAGTGTTGGCTCCAAAGGGGGCACCGACAAACGCATCTTCCCTCCAATCCCTGGCCCCGCCCCTTCGGAGGCACTACTCCACCCATCAGTTAAAAAATGTCCCCCCTTCCTTGAGCCCTGAAGTGGGCCTCCAGCCATGGAGCTCCTGGCCAACAGCGCCACCTATGGCTGCATACGCACAGGAGAGGGGGCCCAGAGGATCTGTCCTCAGATGAATTTTTTGGTGAGCCAGCTAGCCTCTCTCTCCTCATTCCCTGGTAATCACATTTCTGCCTGATATCTGTATTCGACAGTGACCTCTGGGGGACAAAAGGGAGGCAGCAGCCAGCTCCGCAAACTGCTGGGCTGCAGATTCAAGTGCTATCAGAAGCACTTTTGTTCCCTGTTTGGACCCGAGGCCTCCTACGCCAGGGAATGCTTGCTGAAGTACGGAGTTTGTTTTCCTAAAGGCAATTTCTCTGCTGTCTGAAATTGCTAAATTCCACTTTAGGCACTGACTCCTGTTAATGATGAGAACAATAACGGGAATAAAGTGCCTTTTGTCTGAGGGCTTCAAAGTGCTTTATAAACGCAAACCCTTATTATTATGACTTTATATTTATAGACAAGGCCCACTGCAGGGGCTACTGGCTGCATGTACAGCAATAATCCTGAAATTAATTCATTCATCTCCACCCCTTCCCTGTCCCCTTAACCCTGCCAAAGTGATAGGGTGGAGGTTTGGGGGGGTCAAAAGAAATAGGCAGGACCTAGGGCTGCACTGGGGGAGCCCAGGAACCATGCTGCTTCCCTGTGGGCCTGTGGACCCGAGGGATTTGAAAGGGAGGCTGGCACCACACCATCTGAGAAAATGGACTAGATCCAGCCCATGGATCCAGAGGTCAAGGTCACAATAACCTTACAACAGAAGCTCTTAAGATCATAAGTTAATAACCAGGTGATTCCCTCATCTCATTCATTCAGAAAACATTGACTGAGCCCCAGTACATGCCAGGTATTAGACCAGACACTTGTTCAGTGTCCCTGCCGTGATGGAGCTGATTCCATTATTACAGCTGGTCCTGGAGAGAGGAAACCCTTTCGCATTCATTGTCTGCTGGGGTTTTAGTGAAGCCCTTCTCCTTCCCTACGTCCCTCCCTCAGCTGAAGAAAGAGGCTTCTCTGCAGGAGCACGCGAGCACCCCCCCCCCCCCCAGGGAAGGGAGCAGTCTGAGCCCTAACCCAGGTCCAACCCCAGCCCACCCTGCTCAAACACAGGACTGTCAACCAGGCTACTTACTTTTTGTTGGTTGTTCTGACAACAACACAGCGCTCCTTCTGGTCCACACAGACACTGTAGACTTCCTTGGGGTAGGGCAGGTTTCGTATCCGCCACTGGAAACACATCTTGGTGTCCTTGCGCATGAAGATGGGCTGCAGAAGGCAAACCCAACTCCCGGACTGTTCTTGAGGGTAGGAAGGGATGCCTCCCTTCCCCCAAATCTCCGCCTACAGGCACAATGGGAGCCCCTCAGCCCCGCTCAGCTCCCTCTGATGCTCCTATCGCTGTGACAGGCCAGGCCTTAAGCCCTTGCCCTGGGGTGACCACGTCAAAAACCTCTGGGCATTCATTCAGGCAAACACGTCTAGAGCACTGTGCCAGGTGGGCACACTGGAGATGAGAGGTGAACAAGCCATGGTCCCTTTCTTTCAGGGCTGGGACCCACTCCCCACTCGACTCCCCTCCCAGACGCCTGAGAGAGAAACATACATTGGCATTGCTTTCCTTGATGAGTTCAGGCCCCAGGTCGCCTGCTCCGTGGGGTGCTGGCTCTCCCACCTCAATCCGCCACTGGCCCAAGGCTCCCAGGGCGCTTTTCACACGCCACTTCCTTACTGAGGAGAGAAAGAAGCAATGGAATTATGGGGGAGAAAGGCTCTGCTCTTTTTTGCTGAATCATCAACATCACACTAGGCAGGTGGAACAGGATAAAAGTGGGAGCTACAGGCTCCTTTGCACTGGCTTTTTGAGCAGGGACCTCCCAGACTCTGAAATCTCAGTGGAGCATTTCAACATTAGATAACCTATAAAATTCATATCATGAGTGCCCAGACAAAAGGAACTGGAATATAGCTCTGTAAGAAGCCACATGGAGATAAGAAACCCCAGTTGTGGCTACCAGAAAGGGGAAGATGGGAGGGTTAGGAAAAGGGTTAACTACTGGTAATTGGGAAAATTTGAATCCCAAAATGTGTGAGTTGACATGCATTCTTCCTCTCTAAAAATGCGCAAAGGAAAAATGAATTAAGAGGGTGAAACTGAGAGGCAGATTTGTCTCACGATTCAGAAAATCCAAATGTAGTCCGGACAACATGGCTCAGTTCAGGATCAACTTATGAACCAGGAGATCACGGTTCGATTCCCAGACAGGCCACATGCTCAGGCTGCGGGCTTAATCCCCAGCTGGGGGTGTGCAGGAGGCAGCCAATCAATGCTTCTCTCTCATCATTGATGTTTCCATCTCACTCTCCCTCTCCTTCCCTCTCTGAAATCAATAAAAATATTTTTTTTAAAAAGGAAGTCCAAATGTAGATCTTTATATAGAAGATATAGCATGATTTTTGTATGAAGCAGAATCATCCTTTTATAATACAATGCAAACAGCTATCTCTAATTTACCTTGTTTTACAAGCCAGGTGTTTGCATAAAGCTTTTTTTTTTTTTTTTTTTCAAGTAATGAACATAAATTATGGAAATTGTAAGTGAAAAAATTAGTGCAATGGACATTACCTGGAAAGCCCTGCTGGGAACCCTAGTCATCAGGGCTGCAGTCATGGGCATCCCATCTATCCCCCCAGGGGGCCCCTCTGGAGCTGGCGTCCCTCTGCTCCTTCCCTTCCTGCCGCAGTGGGGTGCACTCCAGCCTGGCCAGCAGCCTCCCTAAAGCTGTTGTCAGGAGCTCAGCAGCTCAAGAAGGACCAGGGACTGTGGCAGCTGTTCCAGGGAGCTGCTCTTTCTGGGCGGGGGGACGAGAGCTATAGTCGGATTCTCCAAAGCAGGGAAGCGGTGGGTTTCTCTGAGACTTTGAGCAGCTGTGCCAAACCAAAACACCCTCACTGCTCTAAGTAAGGCACGCAAGCTGCACACAAAAGTGTGCTGTAAAATTAGAATTTCCCCTTGAATATGTGCTTTTACAAGGTCTGCTGCATTCTGCGGTATGATTTTATTATGTCTCAGGGCCAAAAATTCTCCCTAGAAACACATTTCCAAGTTTATAATGAAAATTAATATGGAAGAGTAAAACTTGGAAATATGCTTTATAGGCAGTTTTTTTTTTTTTTTCACACAAATACTTCTACTCTTTTAAGTGAATGGACTGTGACCGGGAGTATATCCAAATCTATTCATGTAATACAGAACCTCGCTTAACTGGAAGCCAGCCTCCTGGGGCCTCTGTCACAGTCACAAACTCAGAAGTGACAAATGCCTCCGAGCAGCAGCTTCTTGTGACAAGACCTACACACCTCACTCTGTTCTGTAGGAAAGATCACTCCTGGATTCTCCCCCAGACTATGTATATAAAATGCTACGTGCAGAACAGGGCAGGAAATGGTTTTCCCAGGCACATCGGCAATAGCATGAGGGGACAGCTCACATCAGGGGGCAGTGTCAGAACTACAAAGCACGTGGGACCATTTAGTGTGAGGGCAAAGAAGCACCCTTGGACCCCGAGGGCATCGCTACATAATGAAATACAGACATCACAGATCTTAAATGGGGAGGTTCCCTCAGAAAGCAGCTAGTCCAGTGCCTGTGGCTCTAAAATGAGAAATAGTGTTTCTTCCCTTGCCACCACTCTCCAGGGGACAGAGTATGGGGGATTATCAATGCTCGGAGAGATAAACTAACTTGTAAAGCCAAAGCTAAAAGTCAGGTCCCCTAACTCCAAGTCCAGATTTTGAATCATTAATAAAAGGCTAAATTATAGTCTATAAATGGTCAATAAGCTTGTATAATATTTTAAAAGGCTCCATTTTGTTTAAAGTATTTCTACTCTTTTTACACTGTAGCCTCCAAAGGAAAAGCTTTGCTTACTTGAAATATAATTTATGGGGAGTCCCTGGAGCTAGACAGGTGAGGTGCTTCTCTAGTCACGGGCCTTGTTAAATCATCTGGCCTAACGCTTGAGAACCTGTGTGGCCAAGAGCCGCAATTCTGACTCCAGGATTCTGCACAGGAGCCTTCCCAAGGAGCACACTAAGGAGAAGGAAAATCAGCTACTCAGTTCTTTACCACAGACCTTAAAAGCCACTCAGGTCACAGGAATTTAGTATCTTTGGCTATTTTATCTTTTAACAAAAAAACAAAAACAAAAAATATTGGAATTAAATTCTGTTAGAATGCAGAAGAAAGTCTTCCTACTCATTCCCATATAAGATTCAATAAACGACTGTCCTTATTGTTTTCCCCCACGGACGTGGGCGTGAATGCACGCGTGCACATCCACACTGTCATCCACACGGTCTTTCTCGTCCTGTCTTTGTTCCTGAACTCAAGGACAGCTCCTGCGGCAGCAGAAGACTGTTTCCACCTGCCGTCACGCTGATTTGATTATATGTTAAACCCAAACTGGTGTGTGCAAGGCTGCTCCTTGGGACGCTGTCAGATCTTCCCGGCTGAGCCAGGGCATCCTTGGGAAGGAGACTGTGGCTGACCCTGTGAAGGGTCTGACGGGGATAGATGAAGGAAGCAGCGCCGGGGGCTTTCTCCTAAGTCAGCAGGAAGCAGGCGGACGCCCCAGGCTGCTGGCTGAGAGGAGGCCCATCGCTCAGGTGGGCTGGAGAGTGGAGGTCCTGAAGGCCTCTTTCCCCAGAGCTACAGCCCTGGCCCATTTCCAACGTGGATAATTGCATTCTCCCTTCCTAAATGCTCCCCGCAGCTCACACTGGCTGCAGGATTCTTCTTTTCTGCCTTAAAACACTGCAACATTGCTCTGTGGCTATTAAACAGCTGCCACGTCCTGTCCCCGAGGAGGCTGAAGGGAATCGAGTGGGTCATTTATAAAGCTGGTGAAGTGCTTGGGAATGAAAGTGCTCAATATCCTCCCACTGCAGCCTGGGGTGGTTAGGCTGGCGGTCAAATACCAAAGCAGATTAGGCCGGTAATCCGAATGTAATCGTTGGGAGATGGCCTGCCCTTCAGCCTCTCCCCCCCCTCCCCCCAGCATGCTGTGCTCTTCTGGGGCTGGTTTGATGTTAAACCCAAACTGGTGTGTGCAAGTTTGGGTTTAACATCAAACATCATTGTGGGCCTCCAGGTTTTTCCTCTGTGGCTACATGCCGCATTCACGGTGGGGGTAGGAATGGACAGCACTGACAGGGCAGAAAAAATATGACACCAACTGGAAGAGCGCTGACCTAGACGGGTGCACCACTGGCAAGTCTTCCTCTGCAAATTCCTTTCTGGGTTTTCCTAGCAGAAAACCACTTTGGCCAATTATCAAATGTATACAATTAGCTTGAAAAATGGAAACTGCTGCCATTTATGGCCACAAAAACCCTGTCCATATTCTACTTCATAGAATGCACAAGTAAAAGTCAGCTCAGACCCTGGGAGCATTTATATTTAAAAGTTAATAATGAGGCCTCTGGTTTGGCTCAGTGGGTAGAGCATCGGCCTGCAGACTAAAGGGTTCCCGGGTTTGATTCTGGCGAAGGGCACATGCTGGTTTGCAGGCTCGATCCCCAGTAGGGGGCGTGCAGGAGACAGCCTATCAACGATCCTCTGTCATCACTGATGTTTCTTTCTCTCTCCCTCTCTGAAATCAATAAAAATATTTTTTTTAAAAAAAGTTAATAATGAGCAGTATTTTGCAAGGGCAGCGGGTGAGGGTGGGGTGGAGTGGGGTGGGGGAAGGTAGAGCTGGGTAAGAAAAGGACCAGCTGCTCAGAGCCCAGTGGTTCTCTCTGCCCATCTCTGTCCTGCTCTCACCAGCCCCTCCCAGGTTATTCTGAGGAAGCAAAATTTAGTAAGAAGCAAACAAAACAGGATGAAATATTCTCACTCCCAACAGGATGTTGTTGAGAACTAAAGCATTGGCTCTTAATCAGACAGACCTCGTTTAAATCCTGGCTCAGAAGCTAACCAGCTACATGATTCTCAACACGGTGCTTAACCTCTTACAAGTCCCCACCCCCTTTCTAACTGTATAATGAGGACAACAGGATCTCCTTCCGTGGGCTGTAACGGGGATGGCTGCATGAGATAATTCACACAAAGCACTTAGCGTGGTACCAATAGCAGCTATGGTATTAATGTCATTATTAGGTCAACTTTAGCCAAACAATGTTCTCTGATGAACATCCATTTCTGCTTTTAAGAAAAAGGAATTTGGGGGACACCATCTATCCTCTACTTTCCAAGAGAAGTGACAGGTTAATGTGGGATGCTAGTAATGAAAAAACCTAGACTTTTTTCTTTTTTTTTCATTTTAAGTTCATGTCCAAGCACAACTAAAAGGCCTGGGTTTTCTTTGTTTGTTTGTTCGTTTGTTTGTTTTTACAGCAGCTGTAGCTGCTTGATTTGCGCTGTATGGAGAAGAGAGGTGCCGCTGGGGGTTGGGGGAGAGGAGCTGGAACTAGTCTCTAGCCTGGTGATGGTGGTGGTTAGCCCACGTGAGCTCCGCTTTCATAAGCTCGCCCCTGTTAGGCATTCCAAGGCTGTCACCCCCGGGGAGTGCTATAAATTACAATGCATTGTGAGGATATTACTACTGTATTGGTTTCCACCAAATCAGTGTCATATGCTAAACACATCAAGATTTTTAATAGCACCAGACTAAACCAATTGGGACTAGAGCCCAAGCAGCTCATAATAAGGAGGGATCAACACTTCACTCTGTGACTGAACATGCGCAGGACACACATTTTCAGACTGGAGACTAAGAGAATGCAAACCAGTGTAATCTGTATTGTCGGTTCTGGACATTTATGAGCTGTCAGAAAAAGGGAAAAAGAAATTCCCTCACCAATACTACCTGTCGATCAGTCCCAGGAAGAAATTAAAGTCAAGAATAATGACAAGAAAATAGCCCAGTTCATGATTCCATCATTGGTCTTAGCATTTCAGGTAGAACTTAATAAAGAGACTAACTCCCAATGCTGACAGCCGCAGGCCCTGGGTCAAAGAACCAGCCACCTCGCTCTGGGAAGTGAGTTAATGCTGATGTATAGACCTGGGAACAGTGAACGGACAAATCAAATAATTCCCAGAAATCCAAGCTGGAGCCTCTATTCATGAGCCTATTCTTATAGGAAAAGAGCTACAGAAACACAAGGTACAATGCTACAAATTACCATTTCTACCCCCTTCTTCCTTTGATTCATTCTCCAAGGTAACTGTCATATTTAATAGAGCTAACTCTGAGGCAAAGTCAGAAGCTGCTGCCTCTGATATTTGCTTGTTTATAGTGTGGCCTCAAAAAACAAGAAAAAAAACAACAACAAACAAAAACACACCAAAAACTGTAGTGACAAACACTATCCGGCCTACAAGGTTTGCCTCCAGTTTCACCTTTTCTAAAGTTTTTCCCAACAGATTCCCCACATCCCCATTCCCACCTGAGAAAGACCACTCACGCTGTCATTTGCTTTGGGCTGAAGGGTCAACCGAACTCCCACTCCACCTCTGGTGCCCAGCCCCGACCTCAGATTACTCTCAGGAACAACGTTGCTTCAGAGGCCTGTCTCCTGGCTTCTCCATGTGGTGCAGGGCCCCACCTCAGCCTCAGGCGAGGTGTGTGCGTGGGTCATCCCAAGCGTCCCTATGGGCCCGCTGGGAGACCCTGCCACTTACCAAGCAGTTCACTTGTCTTCTCGTCATATTCTTCGGCCATTTCCTTCCCGTCTGGGAACAAATAGTGCACCTTCCTTCTCCCTGAGCACAAAGCAGAGCGTGCCTTACTCCCGAGCCTCCTCTTGCCTTGTCCCTTACAGACCCAGGGGTCTCCCTGGGAAGCACCAACAGCCCTGGGCTTATTGAGAAGCCCCCGCCCCAGGGCCTCCCACTCGCTGCCAAACATCAGCCATCATTACTCTGAGATATGTCCTGGGACTCTCTTCCTTCTTGAAGATTCCTGTCAATGTATCTTTGATCTGCTGTTTCCTCTACCAGCAATAGCTCCATCTGGTAAGCTTCTCCTTGATCTTCAAAACCCAGCTCAACTATCACACCCACTGGGAAGTCCTCCTAAACGATCACCCCGGCCACCTTGGCAAAATTTGCTTCCTTGTTTGTGCCTGTCTAATGCTTTATTTATATCCATGGAGGAGAATATGCATAGGGTGTGATAGGTTTAAAAGCATCTATCTCCCCAGGAATGATAGCATATTTATCTTTCTCTCCTCAGTCTCTAAAACCAAACTTGTATTCTCGGGATATTAAAGCGGGCTTCCCACTAAGTACTCCCTCTAACCATGCCGTCATTGTGCCTTCTTTTGCACACCTGTAGGCCATTCCTATCACACAGCCACACAATGTTAGTCCCATGTGTTTCCTTTTTAAAAAAACACACTTTGATTGTTTTCAGAGAGGAAAGGACAGGGGGAGAAAGATAGAAACATCAATGATGAGAGAGAATCATTGACCCGATGCCTCCTGCATGTCCTCTACTGAAGATTGAGCCTGCAGCCCAGGCATGTGCCCTTGACTGGAATCAAACCAGGGACCCTTCAGTCAGCAGGCCGATGCTCTATCCACTGAGCCAAACCAGCTAGGGCCCATGTGTTTTCTTTTTTTCTTTTTTCCTATAAATATATTTTATTGATTTTTTACAGAGAGGAGGAGAGAGGGATAGAGAGCTAGAAACGTCAATAAGAGAGAAACATCGACCAGCTACCTCTTGCACACCCCCTACTGGGGATGTGCCCGCAACCAATGTAAATGCCCTTGACCGGAATCGAACCTGGGACCTTTCAGTCCGCAGACCAACGCTCTATCCACTGAGCCAAATCGGTTTCGGCCCATGTGTTTTCTTTATAGCATTTACCTTAGTTATGATTTTATAATACATCTGTGTGAATGTGTCTTCTGTGTCTTCTACTAGATAAAATGGGTTTATCCCCCAGCCTATGGCTTCCCTGGTACCAAGCACAGTACCTGGCATATAGAAGGAGCTCAGGTAAATATTGACTGAAAGAATGGATGAGCCGAAACTGATTTGGCTCAATGGATAGAGCATCGGCTTGGGGACTGATGGGTCCCGGGTTCGATTCCGGTCAAGGACATGTACCTTGGTTGCGGGCATATCCCCAGTAGGGGGTGTGCAAGAGGCAGCTGATCGATGACTCTCTCTCATCGATGTTTCTAACTATCTCTCTCCCTTCCTCTCTGTAAAAAATCAATAAAATATATTAAAAAAAAAAAAAAAAGAGTGGATGAATAGTGATTCACCTTTCACTGAAACAATGAAAGAACCCAAGGGAGTATCCTATCCTGTCTCTTCCATCAATGTAGTGTAATCACGGCATTTCTGTAAAAGTGGCTATGCCTTCCCCCTTTTTTACAGATGGGTAACTGGATATAGGTAGACTCTTCAGTGAGACTAATAACTGAGAATTAATGCCCACTAGGCAGGTCCAACATACATTTGATGAGTAAGAGCCCCAAGGCCCTTAACCAAACGTGCAATTGTATCCTATCTACCAAGTCTTTTTTTTCTGTTCAATTCACTCCTCTGGGACACTGTTCTCTAGTTGTTCCTAATGTGATATATTCTGGGGAAACTCACCCCCCAAGTTTGCATATCTTTCAGCAGGCCTCTAGGTCACTCCATCCTCAATCTTTTGGATGGCTCAAAGAGCTGGGAGGAGTCTTTCTGTCAGGAGTTGTACAAGGAGTGGCCTGTGAGTAGCTGAGGGTGTCTGGCCTAGAGTCCAGTCTTCAGTCCAGAAAGAATACAGTGCTTACTACTGGCCAGATACTTTATGTTTTTTGTTTGCATTTAATTCTCATTTAATAATCCTATGGGCCCCATTACCTGTATTTCACAAATGAGGAAAATTGAGGCTTAAAGGTCATACAACTTGTCCAAGGTCATAAAGCTAGGACATGATGGGTCCAGGCTTAAACTCACTTGAGGCCTAAGTCCATGCTCCAATAACCATAATAGGATAATGTTTATGGCTTTAAAATATTTTTAAGGTTAACACCATTTACTGGTCATTTGCTAGTGAATTACCTCTTTATGCCTTAGCCTATTTTACTTACTAATCTTTTTCTTACTAATCTAATTGAGCTTTGTATATATTAACCATGTGCCATATATATTAGCCATGTGTCAGATATGCTGCAAATATTGTTTCAATTGCCTTTTAACTTTGTTTTAAAGTGAGTTTCCCCAAACAAAAGGGCTTAATTTTTATACAGCCAACTATATTTCCTTTGTGGTTACTACCCATGAATTGCACTTAGAATATCCCTCTTTACCCAAAGATTTTTTTGAATATTTATTCTAACACAGAATGAAATTATTATATAGATATGTATATATGTACGTTGATATAACATTTTTAAGTACATTGGCATATTTTGTTTAAAAGAAATAGTCAAAACCGGTTTGGCTCAGTGGACAGAGCATCAGCCTGCGGACTGAAAGGTCCCGGATTCGATTCTGGTCAAGGACATGTACCTTGGTTGCGCGCACATCCCCAGTGGGGGGTGTGCAGGAGGCAGCTGATCGATGATTCTCTCTCATCGATGTTTCTAACTATCCCTCTCTCTTCCTCTCTGTAAAAAATATCAATAAAATATATATTTTTTAAAATCTGTGAGTGGTCCTGCTGGTGTGGCAAGAGAGGTCACTGGTTCGATTCCTCGTCAGGGCACATACCCGGGTTGCGGGCTCGATGTCTTTTTCTATCTGCACCAATAAACACCTTCACACATAGTACCTCAATGCTGTTTATAACAAGCAAATGAGCAGCTGATTTTAATTTCTATGCTTCCCTGATTGGCCTGTGGATGTGAGTCCCCAGTTGGTAACCTAAAAGCTACAGCAATTTAGACCTAACTCATTTTGGCTACCAGGAAGGGACCTTGAAGTACCAGGAGGGCCTGCACTGGCCAATCCGGGAGTGAAAGTCAGGATTCCGTACACCTGCGCCCATCTCTTCCAGGCACAGCCCCAGGCCCCGGCTGTCTCCCCTAAAGACTCAGGGAACGTTCAGAGGTTCACTTACAAACATTACAACCAGAAAGCACCTCAGAGATAAGGGGGAGCCCATCCAGCTCATTTGACCGATGAGGAAATTGAGGTCCAAACAAGTACAGAGAACAACTAGAGAGTTGGGTGATTTAATGGCAGAATCGTACCTACAATCCAGGTCTCCCGCCCTTCCAAGGCACCAGGCTGCCTGCCTTCCTCAATAGAACCCACGACTGAGGTTCTTGGGGTCCCAGGTCAGTTGTACCGCTGTCTGGTTGGGGCATCTGGGGCTGGTCTAAAACCTCCTTGGATCAGTTTCCTCTCCTGTCAAATGGGGTGAAAATGTAACAGCCTTTAGGGACAGCGGTGCGGATCAAATGCCATAATGAATGTGAAAGGAATTATGTTTATTTATTAGTAACACAATAAATATACAGGACACCAGGGGGTGTCCGGAGATGCGCGTTCCAGTTACGTCATCTCTCTGGACCTCAGTTTCCTCATCTGCAAATGTGGGACCCGGCTTGGGTGGCGGCCGCGACGCTCTCCGCTCTGGCCCCGGGCCGAGGCCCTCCCCGGGACGCGAGCGCGGGGGCCGGACCCGGGGGAGAGCGAGGGGACCCGCGGGGCGCCTCGGATTACCGTCCTGCAGCAGCGCCGTCTTCTCGGCCGCCCGCAGGCTCTCCAGCCAGCCAGTCACCGCCATCTTCCCGCCGCCGAGCCCTGCGTCCGGCCGCTACCATGACGACCGGCCCGCCCAGGGTCACTTCCGGGTGACCCGGAAGCGGTTCTGGCCATTTTCCTTTCTTCTCTTCCCCCCCCCACCCCCCCATCATCCTCTCTCATTGGCTGCCCTGCTAAGTAAGTAGAAGTTTACTCTAGCTCAACCCCCGGGTGGTTTGCTGGGCCTGAAGCGGACCCTGCCCCGGGCCGAACCCTGGCAGTGGGGCGGGTCCTCAGGGCGAGGTCCGGGCCAGTCACCCCTCTTATGGCCTCCAGCTGGGATGGCCCCCGAGCTCGCTCCAGCTGCGACCGCAGCGGACGCCCACACCTGCCGGAGCCTCCCCCCCCAGCTGTGAGGCTGAGATTCCGCGGCCCGGAAGGCGCTGCGCACCTGCTGTCGCTGTGCCCGGTCTCCCCGCACCTGCGGGGCTGAGCACCGCCGTGCGGAGCAGCCTGCGACCCGGGCAGGTGCGCCCAGGGCGTTCGTTCCCCGTCTTCCTAACTTCCCGCCCGCACATCGCACCCCCAGATTTTCCTCTGCGGGCCAGTGATGTGGGGGAGAGAAATATTATGTAGCGTTTGTGCCGGCTTCCACCCAATCTCCACTCCTCTTGGGAGCCCAAGCCCTTCCTAAAGATACAGCTCCATTTCCTAACTTGGCATCCCCTTAGGGAAACCCCGTTGGGACACAGCCGGGCAGACACTGCACTGAGTCTTTATCCCTCTGAGGAATGATACTATTTAGTGCCCCCCACCCCCAAAAAAAAGTTCCCCCAAAAGTTTCATTTATCTCCGCGATTTCCTCCAATTCTCTGACTTTGAAAGAGGTAGGTTAAGCCACTGAAGTTCAAATGGGTTTGGGGAGACCCTGGAGAACTGGGCTACTGCCCCCAAGGCCTGGTCAGTAGAGATCCCACCTCCATAGTCAAAGGAGTTGGGGAATCCCAGTTCTCGGTTTCTACATGACAGCTGCCCTGATCAACCCTCAAACAGAAAGGCCAGGATCCAGCCATACCTCAATGGACCCCAGGGGCATCTTGAAGGCATTTCCCAAGCGGAAGAAAAGCCTTGCCAATCCGTCATCAAAAGCACTTGCAAAGATTCCCAAGAGGGAAGACGAAGAAGAAGCAAGAGGTGAGGGAACCCAATCTCAGAAACCTCAATGTTCACGGCCAGAGCAGATAGAGCTGACTCTGCCTGCCCAGGGCCTGCAGGTTGGCTTATGCCCGCCTTGCAGTAAGCTTGGTCCCAGGTCTTTGACAGACCACCTGCTGTTATCTTCCACTCCACCCTGAGACCGCCATTAATCAGAAAGTACTCTCTAGTCCCTAAGGAAATGACCAGCAGAATCCTTTGCTCTCCAGGAGGTTCCCTGCAGTGTGTGTGTGGGGAGGGGGGGGGGGGCCAGAGTGAGGGGAGCAGAAATCCATCTCAGGCCCCTAGAGTTAAAAAGTATTTTGTAGCCCAATTGATAAATAGATGGCAAAACCTTACATGGGGTGGGAAGGAAGGATCTATCAGAGTGTGCGGCCTATAAGATATATATGTCTTGTGCCTGGTACACGGTAGGTATCTATGAATACTTGTTGAAAGAAATGAACAGAGTGGTTTATGGAATGCCTACAATGTGCCAGACGCTTCTAGTTTTCCTCGTACGTGATGACACATGAGGAAATTAACTGTGTGCTTGTGGTGGAACCCTCAGAGGACAGGTTGCCTGAATGGAAGAAAAGTGATTGTTTGGGGGTAGGAGGCCCTAATGGGATCGTTCGGATCAGGTCTGAAGTTCTGACAATTAGGCACACGGACGCCTCCTCCACAGAGTGGCTGAGCTCCCTACAGGCCCATGTCGTGCCCACTGGCATTGGGCGAGCCCGGGCAGAACTCTTTGAGAAGCAGATTGTCCAACACGGTGGCCAGATATGCTGCGCCCAGGCCCCGGGGGTCACTCACATCGTGGTGGATGACGGCATGGACTGCGAGCGAGCCCTTCGCCTCCTCAGACTGCCCCGGCTGCCCCCCGGGGCCCAGCTGGTAAAGTCGGCCTGGCTGAGCCTGTGCCTGCAGGAGAGAAGGCTGGTGGACACCGCAGGATTCAGCATCTTCATCCCCAACAGGTGGGCTGATCCCAGTCTTTCCTCAAATGTTTTCTGGCAGCATCTTGAGCCCTTCCTTTGGGTTATTAAAAATAACTCTCATTGTCTTAATGGAATACATTAGAAAACCAGTGTTTCTGAGGAGAGGACTGAGAGCAGAGTTAGGGTGAGACCTTTGGTGTCTTAACATCCCATCCCCATCCCTGCAGGTACCTGGACCAACCACAGCCCAGTGAGGCAGACCAAGACTCTTCTACCAGAGCTTGTGAGGCTCTGCTCACGGCACCCCTCTCTCCTCCTCCTCCTCCCGCTAGACCTGTATCTCCTCCCTGGAGGATAGAGGAAGCTCCAGACGCCCCGGCCCAGGTAAGGAGCCTTTCAGCTCACTTTCCCTGGAACCTGGATCATAGAAACAGGGACAGCCTAGTGGTTGTTCAGAAAGTCCGGGGCCCCTGAGGGAGGAAGCCATTTAGCTCTTCCCAGCACTCATCACTCCTATATTTGCCCACATGCCACTGGGCACCCTAGAGTTGGACCAAGAAGTCAAGTGGAACACGTCCCCAAACTTAAGGAAACCAAGTCAGACGCAGAAGACACAGCCTAATTCTTGGGTCTCACTGGGAGACTCAACCCCCACCTTTGAGGAGCATTCCCGGGGGCATGAATTCACTGTCTCCTCTTCTTCCTTACCTCAAGCCTGGCTCTGATGATGACACCAGTGATGGGGAAGAGACCCGAGTGAGCGCAGCTGATTTGGAAGCCCTGATCAGTGGCCGCTACCCTACCCCTGCTGAGGGAGATGGTGAGCCTAGCCCAGCCCCCGAGGGTCTGAATAAGTGGGTCTGTGCACAGCCTTCAAGTCAAAAGGCGACCAACCACAACGCCCACATCACAGAGAAGCTGGAAGTGCTGGCCAAAGCCTACGGTGTCCAGGGAGACAAGTGGAGGGCCCTGGGCTACGCCAAGGCCATCAACGCCCTCAAGAGCTTCCACAAGCCCGTCACCTCATACCAGGTACGTGGGGGCTAGGGCGGGAGTGCAGAGAGGTGGGATGTGGTCTTCTCTTTGCTGGTGAGAGGTTGGTGGAGGCACTGGCCACAAGTGGGGATCAGGTGGAATGGTTAAGATTTTATGGGAATCACACAAAAGAAAAAAAATGGGGGGACTGATGAAAGCAGTTCGGCAAAATCTTGATAATTGTAGAAGCTGGGTATTGGTTGCTTGGGGATTTGTTACACAGTTCTCTCTACTTTGGAATTTTTTCCATAATAAAGTTTTTAAGACGTTTAGACTCTGGAGGCCAACAGAGCAATGTTTGAATTCTGTTTTCCATCATTCACTAATGGTGTGACTTCAGGCAAGTTACTTAAACCCACTGAGTGTCAGTTTCTTCGCTCGCTCGGAAGAAGAAACTAAGAAAAGTAACACGTCCAGTGTTCTGAGGACTAAATGAGATGATCTCTGTGGTGCACAACCCGCCGCCACACAGTAAACGTTGGCTCTCTATTGTGATGATGACGACTAGTGTCACCATTATTGCCTTTTTTTCTACTTCCTGTGCTGATCTCCATCCCTCTGGGAAGCAAAAGACAACTTAACCTTCCCATTCCATCCAAACCTCTCATCTCCAGTTGTGCCCAAGCTTTACATAGTAGCCATTAATTGCCATCTGGCCGACTGGCTTTTACTGACATCTGCTAAAGGAGTCAGCTTCCCCGCCCTCTGGCCCTGCCCATCCCGTCTTCTCACTCTTTTTTCCTGCCTCTGCCAACCCCTTCCTCCAGGAAGCCTGCAGCATCCCTGGGGTCGGGAAGCGGATGGCCGAGAAGGTCCTGGAGATTCTAGAGAGCGGGCACCTGCGGAAGCTGGACCACATCAGCGACAGCGTGCCTGTCTTGGAACTCTTCTCCAATATCTGGGGAGCTGGGACCAAGACCGCCCAGATGTGGTACCAACAGGTCATCCCTTGCCCCAGGCTCCTCTCAGTTCTGCTGTGTCTCAGAGCTCCTGAACTACAGTTCTCTTACCCTGCGCTCTGATGGGCATGAATCCAGACTATAGGGACCAGGACTCATGTAGACCCCGCTCCCAGCTCCCAGAACTGCCCTGTGGCTTGGTATACTTGAGGCATTTATCTGTGGCAGAGACGAGAAGTCTGTTTCTCTGTCTCAGACCAGCAAGGGCCTTTCTGAAGAGGCCAGGCCTCAGGGTGAGTATCCAGAGCAGTGGTTCCCGAACCTGGCTTGTCCAGACTCACCCCTAGACCAACAGAATCATGTTTGAGGCTTGTGGCAGGGCCCCTCCTGCCTTCCCCGAGCCCACTGATTAGAGAGACCCAACAGCTCCCGGGGGGTCCTGCCTCAGGTCTTCCTTGGAGTCTGGGTGAGGGGAGCCTTGTGTGCGCTCACTCACTGCCTCTGCATTGGTCCTGGAGCCTCATGGTGCCCCAACCGGCTTCTTTTCTCCAGGGTTTCCGGAGCTTAGAAGACATCCGCAATGAGGCCTCCCTGACTACCCAGCAGGCCATTGGCCTGAAGCATTACGATGACTTTCTGGAACGCATGCCCAGGGAGGAGGCTGCCGAGATTGAGCAGACAGTAAGCAAGGGTCTCAGAGCAGTGAGCAGAGCCAGGCCCTGCTGGAAGGTCAGGGCCAAGAACTGGTCCCTCAGCCGGGGAGCCTAACAGGCAGAGGAAGCTGTGGGCCACAGAGGTTAGGATCAGGGTGGAAAGAGCGAGTCAAGACTAAAGCTCTGGTAGGGAACTACTTAAGGATATTGGGATTTGAACTACTAGGTTAGGCTGGGTCAAGGCAGAGGTTCTTAGCATTTGTGATTTACAAACTTCTTTGAGAACCTGGTGAAAACATTCTCTCGAGAAGTTGTACAAACGTACAGCGTTTTATGTCTCTTTCCAGACGTACGGACTTTCTGAAGCCCCTTTGTGGGTTAGAGGTGGTGAAGAAGCCCAGTGCAAGTAGGACTAAGTTTGGGGTTAGAAGAAAGCTAGATCAAGAAATGAGTTAAGGTTTGGCCTGAATCAGGAGTAAGTTTTCTTAGTATTGGATGCTTTTATTTTATTTTTAAATATATTTTATTGATTTTTTTTTACAGAGAGGAAGGGAAAGAGATAGAGAACAAGAAACATCAGTGAGAGAGAAACATCGACCAGCTGCCTCCTGCACACCCCCCACCGGGGATGTGCCCGCAACCAATGTACATGCCCTTGACCGGAATCAAACCCGGGACCCTTCAGTCCTCAGACCGACGCTCTACCACTGAGCCAAACCGGTTTCGGCAGTATTGGATGCTTTTAGTTAAGATTCAAGGTTGCCCTAGAAATAAGGTTTGGCCGAGATTAGGGTTTGGCCTAGAGGTTTGGTCTATGACTGGCGTTGGGATTAGGAGCTGGTTCTGTGGACAAGGTTTGCTTCCTTTGGTCTAGGACGCTGCTAGCGTAGAACCCCAGGGGAACTCTACGGACAGCTTAGTTGGAATCACTGCCAGCTCCTCTCCAGGCCCCAGGAATCTGAGGCCGGCCCCTTTGTTCCCCCGTCACCAGGCCTGGTGTCAGTGATGACACCGTCACTCAGCCACGGTGTCCAGGCAAGGAGAATGCCCCAGTGAGCCTCCGGCCTCCTGCCCACCTTGCCAGCTCCCCATTGAAGGCTCCAGCCTGGGGAGTTTTTGATGGGATTACCCGCCCTGGGCCTCCTCCTGTCTTCTTTGGAGGCTCCAGAGGGAGTGAGGGATTAGCAGAGCCCCTTGTCAGCAGAATTGAGGTGTCAGGGTTGAGGGTATTCAGGGCCCCAGAAACCTCAGTATCCTGGGGCGGAGGCGGGAGGCCATCTGCATATGAAAGGCCTTAGTGTCTCTGGGTAGCCGCTAATGGGCTTATCCCTCTCAATGAGGGATGAGCCTTCAGTTGACAGTCTCCTCTGTCACAGCTCACTCCTCACCCGTCCCATTCCTCCGAGTGAGGATGTGAACATTGGCTCAGATTTGTCTTCCTTTCTCCCTTTACCTCCTTCCCCTCCCCTCCCTTTCCCTCCCTTCCCCTTCTCCCCTCCCCTGCATCACAGGTGTAGCTCTATTTCTGGCCTCCTCTCTCCTCCTCTCATCACAGATGTGGTTTTATTTCTGGGTTCCATTTTCCCCAGGCTTGGCTCCAGAACACCCTGCCAGCCACCTGTTCAGGCCTCAAGCCCCAACTCACACGCTATGCATATCATACTAAATCCATAGATTACACACACACACACACACACACACACACACACACACACCCGGCTGCTGAGACCTGGCTGAGGGCGCTCAGGGCCTGGCCTTTTGTCCTACGTGGGTTTCACAGACCTGCGTTGTGAAGGGCGCATGGGTTGGGGAGGGACTACCTGTGTGTCTGCTCTGAAGGAGCCCGAAGGGAAGATCAGTTCTCTCCCTCAGAGTCTCTTTCTCAGGCTGCCTCCCGGGTCGAGCGCATCCTAGTGAAACTAGGGAACTGCTGCTCCCAGGGAATATCTCTGGCCCCTGTTCCCCGGGGCCCGTTCCCTACGGCCTTGTTCTCGCACCAGGGATTGGCTTGGGGCATCAGCGGGGAGGCCCCTGTGCGGACACAGGAGGAGCTCCTTGAGGAGCTTAAGGTCCACAGCCCCTCAGCCCTCGCTGCCTTTCCCAGGTCCGGGAATCGGCTCAGGCCTTCAGCCCTGGGCTGTTGTGTGTGGCCTGCGGTTCCTACCGACGGGGGAAAGCCACCTGCGGTGACGTGGACGTGCTGCTCACTCACCCGGACGGCCGGTCTCACCAGGGCGTCTTCGGTCGCCTCCTTGACAGCCTCCGGCAGCGAGGTACGAGCTCCACCCCCGGCTGAGTGGGCTGGCAGGGCCAGGGCGGGCGAGGCGGCCCCAGGAGGGAGAGCCCCAGTCACCATCTCTAGGCAGGAAGCAGGGCAGGTTGTTCCTGAGGATCCCCGCTGTGACCCTTTCAGGGGAGAGATGCAACAGCCCCAACCACACAGGCGCCCAGGACCACCTGCAGGTGGAGTGTCCCATCGGGTCCTCCTGTGGCAGGAGGGGAGGGTGGTGGGGGCGGGGGGAATCTCTGTGCACATTTTACAGGTGAGGAGACAGGCCCAGAGAGGGCAAGGTCACCCAGCAGATAAATGAGTCCCCTGGGACGAGAGGACCCAGGATGGTCTGGAGAGAGCTGGGAGGATGGGATGGCCCGGGCCTGGCTCCCAGCCCTCCCATCAGCCCTCCCGTGTCCGGCCAGGGTTCCTGACGGATGACTTGGTGAGCCAGGAGGAGAACGGTCAGCAGCAGAAGTACCTGGGTGTGTGCCGGCTCCCAGGACCAGGGCGCCGGCACCGACGACTGGACATCATCGTTGTGCCCTACAGCGAGTTCGCGTGCGCCCTGCTCTACTTCACCGGCTCTGCCCACTTCAACCGCTCCATGCGGGCGCTGGCCAAGACCAAGGGCATGAGCCTGTCGGAGCACGCCCTCAGCTCCGCTGTGGTGCGGGACGCCCGAGGCCTCAAGGTGGGGGCTGGCCGAGTGCTGCCCACCCCGACAGAGAGGGATGTCTTCAGGCTCCTGGGCCTGCCCTACCGAGAGCCAGCTGAGCGGGACTGGTGACCGCTGGACTACCCAGGACTCCTCTCTGGCTGAACCTCACCACTTCCATCACTGGGAAAGGGCCAGCCTGGCTCCAGGGCCTGCCCTGCCCGCCCCTGACAAGAGCAGGCTGCCTCCCAGCTGTCCTTGGTAGAAGCTTGCCGGCAGCCCATTGCCCCCCCGTTAAGCAGGAACAGGCGGCTGGTTTGAAGCCAGCTCTTGTGCTGAAGGCCCGGGCATCCCCCTCCTCTACCCTGAGGAGGGTTTGGCTGCTGGGGGTGGGAAGGGGCTGCAGGGGCAAGGCGAGCAGCTCTGGCCCAGCATTACCCAAGACCCTTTGGAGCAGGAGAATGAACCACTTCGCATACTTCCTCTTCCCACCCGCTTCCTGTGCAGCCGGAGGTGCTGGGAGAGGCGCCTCAGGCTCCGGCACAGCATGGGAAGACCCAGCGGCCCAGTAAAGTGCATTTGACCTTCAGCCTGCCTGGGGTCTGAGCTGCTGCAGCCCCTGCCTGCCTGCCTCCACCAGGTGGGCATGCAGAGGGGACTGACCGGGAGCCGGAAATGCACGTTAGCTGCTCTGCTATAGGCCAGGCCCGGCCAGCTCCTGAGCCCAGAGGACATGGTGACGTGGAAAGGGAGAACTCAGGGAGTCAGGCAGTTGGGGTGCCTGCCTTCCCATCAGCATCTCCTGCGGGTCCCGCCCTGGAACAGGCTCTGGGAACATGAACGAAGACTAGCCTGGTTGGCGTGGCTCAGTGATTGGGCGTCAACCTATGAACCTGGAAGTCATGGTTCTATTCATCGCCGGGGCTCGAACCCCAGTGTGGGGTGCGCAGGAGGCATCCCATCAGTGATTCTCATCATTGATGTTTCTCTTTCCCTCTCCCTTCCTCTCTGAAATCAATAAAAAATATTTTTTTAAAAAGTGTCTAAGACTCATTAGGAACAACTAATGGTGACCTGTGTGCCATTGTCAAGGGTGAGGCAGTCAAGGAAGGCTGCCTGGAGGAGGGGAGGGGCAGGCTGGCAGGGAAGTAGCCTGTTTGAGAGGTTAACTTATACACAGACTTCCCCAACGGGAGGAATAGTGCTGACTTCTACGTCTGAATTCAGGGGCCCCCATTCCTGCCACCCCCCCTCCCATCAGGAGACTCCTAATTCCAGAGGCCCCTTCAGACCAAACTCTGGTTCTCCTGGTAAGGGCACAAAGGCGGAGTGCCATACCCTCCAGAGAGCCAGCAGAGGGTGGTCTGGCCGCACCCCTGACACAGGAGCCCAGGGAGAGAGCTTCGTCCTGAGGTTACCCAGTTTGGGGGAGGGGTGGGTCTCTGGGGCAGAGGAAGCCAAGAGTGGAAGGGATTCCCCAGCCCCTGAGAGCCTGCCCCTGGTTCAGCCCCTGCGCCATCCTGTTGGAAAGGGAGACTGAGTTCAGAGCGCAGCAACTGGGAACCCCCAAATCACCGCCCACCCACCGAGCTTCCTGGCCCGGCCCAGCCATCGTCTGTCCCTGAGCCAGAGCTGCCCCTGGTCAGACCACAGGTCCGGTGGGATAATCTTCCCCAAAGATGTCTACACCCTGACCCCTGATTCCGGGAGTATGTCATCCCGCCGGTGAAAGGCACCTTGCAGCTGTCCTTAGCTTTATTTTGAGGTGAGATTATCCTGGACTATCCAGTGGGCCCAGCCTAATCATGAATCCTTAAAAGTCGGAGAGAGACGTGAGAGGGAGGGGGGGTCAGAGAGGAGCGATGTTCCTGGCTTTGGTGCCACAGGTGCCACCAGCTAAGGAATGCGGTGCCTCTGGAAGCCGGCGGAGCAAGGACACGCTGGACTCTAGAACCTTCCAGGCCGCCCCGCCCTCTCAGAGGCCAGCCTCACCAGACACGGCTGGGTACCCGATGCTCCCGGACTCTACAGACGCCAGAGCTGCCCCAGGCCGGATGGGCTCAGCCCCAGGATCGTTAGCCGTGTTCACCGTGCCCTCAGGCCAGGCGCCAGCCAGCTGGCTCTCCAGACCCCGGAGCCACTTGGCAGTCCTGTTTCTGAGCTCGGGGCCAGGGGACCCCCAGGCTGGAGTCCCAGAGCAAAGCCTCCTCCTCCTCATGTGAACTGGGAGCTCTGCAAGCCCCGGTCCACCCCGCCACGGGGTCAGTGCGGGCCAGGGGGTCAGTGAGGGCCATGGGGGGTCAGTGCGACCAGGGGGTCAGTGCGGGCCAGGGGGTCAGTGTGGGCATGGGGGTCAGTGCGGGCCAGGGGGTCAGTGCGACCAGGGGGTCAGTGCGGGCCAGGGGGTCAGTGTGGGCATGGGGGTCAGTGCGGGCCATGGGGGGTCAGTGCGGGCCAGGGGGTCAGTGCGGGCCATGGGGGTCAGTGCGGGCCAGGGGGTCAGTGCGGGCATGGGGGTCAGTGTGGGCCAGGGGGGTCAGTGCGGGCCAGGGGTTCAGTTTGGGCCAGGGGATCAGTGCGGGCCAGGGGGGGTCAGTGCGGGCCATGGGGGTCAGTGCGGGCCAGGGGGGTCAGTGCGGGCCAGGGGGTCAGTGCGGGCATGGGGGTCAGTGTGGGCATGGGGGTCAGTGCGGGCCAGGGGGTCAGTGCGGGCATGGGGGTCAGTGCGGGCATGGGGGTCAGTGTGGGCATGGGGGTCAGTGCGGGCCAGGGGGTCAGTGCGGGCCAGGGGGTCAGTGCGGGCATGGGGGTCAGTGTGGGCATGGGGGTCAGTGCGGGCCAGGGGGTCAGTGCGGGCATGGGGGTCAGTGCGGGCCAGGGGGTCAGTGTGGGCATGGGGGTCAGTGCGGGCCATGGGGGGTCAGTGCGGGCCAGGGGGTCAGTGCGGGCCATGGGGGTCAGTGCGGGCCAGGGGGTCAGTGCGGGCATGGGGGTCAGTGTGGGCCAGGGGGGTCAGTGCGGGCCAGGGGGTCAGTTTGGGCCAGGGGATCAGTGCGGGCCAGGGGGGGTCAGTGCGGGCCATGGGGGTCAGTGCGGGCCAGGGGGGTCAGTGCGGGCCAGGGGGTCAGTGCGGGCCAGGGGGTCAGTTTGGGCCAGGGGATCAGTGCGGGCCAGGGGGTCAGTGCGGGCCATGGGGGGTCAGTGTGGGCCAGGGGGGTCAGTGTGGGCATGGGGGTCAGTGCAGGGCATGGGGGTCAGTGCAGGCCATGGGGGGTCAGTGCAGGCCAGGGGGGTCAGTGTGGGCCAGGGGGGTCAGTGCGGGCCAGGGGGGTCAGTGTGGGCCAGGGGGTCAGTGCGGGCCAGGGGGGTCAGTGTGGGCCAGGGGGGTCAGTGTGGGCCAGGGGGTCAGTGCAGCCAGGGGGTCAGTGTGGGCCATGGGGGGTCAGTGCGGGCCAGGGGGGGTCAGTGCGACCAGGGGGTCAGTGCGGCCAGGGGGGGTCAGTGTGGGCATGGGGGTCAGTGTGGGCCAGGGGGTCAGTGCGGGCCAGGGGGTCAGTGCGGGCCAGGGGGGGTCAGTGCGGGCCATGGGGGTCAGTGCGGGCCAGGGGGTCAGTGCGGGCATGGGGGTCAGTGTGGGCCAGGGGGTCAGTGTGGGCATGGGGGTCAGTGTGGGCCATGGGGGTCAGTGCGGGCCAGGGGGTCAGTGCAGGCCAGGGGGTCAGTGCGGGGCATGGGGGTCAGTGCGGGCCAGGGGGGTCAGTGCGGGCCAGGGGGTCAGTGTGGGCATGGGGGTCAGTGTGGGCCAGGGGGTCAGTGTGGGCCAGGGGGTCAGTGCGGGGCATGGGGGTCAGTGCGGGGCATGGGGGTCAGTGCGGGGCATGGGGGTCAGTGCGGGGCATGGGGGTCAGTGCAGGCCAGGGGGTCAGTGCGGGCCAGGGGGACAGTGCGGGGCATGGGGGTCAGTGCGGGGCATGGGGGTCAGTGCAGGCCAGGGGGTCAGTGCGGGCCAGGGGGTCAGTGTGGGCCAGGGGGTCAGTGCGGGGCATGGGGGTCAGTGCGGGGCATGGGGGTCAGTGCAGGCCAGGGGGTCAGTGCGGGCCAGGGGGTCAGTGCGGGCCAGGGGGACAGTGCGGGCCAGGGGGGTCAGTGTGGGCCAGGGGGGGTCAGTGTGGGCCAGGGGGGTCAGTGCGGGCCAGGGGGTCAGTGCAGGCCAGGGGGTCAGTGCGGGCCAGGGGGTCAGTGCGGGCATGGGGGGTCAGTGTGGGCCAGGGGGTCAGTGCGGGCCAGGGGCAGTCAGTGCGGGCCAGGGGGTCAGTGCGGGCCAGGGGGTCAGTGTGGGCCAGGGGGTCAGTGCGGGCCAGGGGCAGTCAGTGCGGGCCAGGGGGTCAGTGTGGGCCAGGGGGTCAGTGCGGGCCAGGGGCAGTCAGTGCGGGCCAGGGGGTCAGTGCAGGCCAGGGGGTCAGTGCGGGCCAGGGGGGGTCAGTGCGGGCCAGGGGGTCAGTGCAGGCCAGGGGGTCAGTGCGGGCCAGGGGGGTCAGTGTGGGCCAGGGGCAGTCAGTGCGGGCCAGGGGGTCAGTGTGGGCCAGGGGGTCAGTGCGGGCCAGGGGCAGTCAGTGCGGGCCAGGGGGTCAGTGTGGGCCAGGGGGTCAGTGCGGGCCAGGGGGGTCAGTGTGGGCCAGGGGGTCAGTGCAGCCAGGGGGTCAGTGCAGGCCAGGGGGTCAGTGCGGGCCAGGGGGGGTCAGTGCGGGCCAGGGGGGTCAGTGCGGGCCAGGGGGGGTCAGTGCGGGCCAGGGGGTCAGTGCAGGCCAGGGGGTCAGTGCGGGCCAGGGGGTCAGTGCGGGCCAGGGGGGTCAGTGTGGGCCAGGGGGTCAGTGCAGCCAGGGGGTCAGTGCGGGCCAGGGGGGGTCAGTGCGGGCCAGGGGGGGTCAGTGTGGGCCAGGGGGGGTCAGTGCGGGCCAGGGGGTCAGTGCGGGCCAGGGGGGGTCAGTGCGGGCCAGGGGGGGTCAGTGTGGGCCAGGGGGGGTCAGTGCGGGCCAGGGGGTCAGTGAGGGCCAGGGGGTCAGTGCAGGGCATGGGGGTCAGTGCGGGCCAGGGGGGTCAGTGCGGGCATGGGGGGGTCAGTGCGGGCCAGGGGGGGTCAGTGTGGGCCAGGGGGGGTCAGTGCGGGCCAGGGGGGGTCAGTGCGGGCCAGGGGGGTCAGTGCGGGCCAGGGGGTCAGTGCGGGCCAGGGGGGGTCAGTGCGGGCCAGGGGGGGTCAGTGTGGGCCAGGGGGGGTCAGTGCGGGCCAGGGGGTCAGTGCGGGCCAGGGGGTCAGTGCAGGGCATGGGGGTCAGTGCGGGCCAGGGGGGTCAGTGCGGGCCATGGGGGTCAGTGCGGGCCAGGGGGTCAGTGCGGGCCAGGGGGTCAGTGCGGGCCAGGGGGTCAGTGCGGGCCATGGGGGTCAGTGCGGGCCAGGGGGTCAGTGCGGGCCAGGGGGTCAGTGCGGGCCAGAAAAGACCTGCAGAAAACACTCCTGGAAAGGCCCAAAGAGGAGGAGGAGCAGGGGAAGAGGGACTGTGGAGAGGGCTCTGAGGGTGCCACTGGGGGACC